CGAGACAGACATCTGTTACATTCAATTACCTTAAGTTTGTGTTGGTAGCATGTTTCTACTCAGAGACGGACATCTGTTACATTCAATTACAAACTCTTGATTTTTATTAATATCTCCATAAATATATGAACAAGTTATACAAAACTTCAACTGCAATTATATATTGGTTGATAATATTTCAAAGTTTAAGAATGAATGAACAAAAATGACTTGAGTTATCTTGGCTATAAAGAAGTGCTTACAACAATGTGGATGACAACGTCAGACATTGTATCTACTATACAGCACATTATGATTATTGGCATGGTAATTCAAACTAATACATAAATATTAAAGTCACTGATTATTTATCTGTCATCACACGGAATTACTGAAAAATTGTCACTGTAAAAAGTTAACTAATACTGCCAATTTTAGAAGTGTGGATTCAGTTACCTGGCAAATTCATGCACAGCTCCTTAGCATGGCCTAAGAGGTCAAAAACGTTAGCCTGTGCTAAGAAAACATTGGTGAAATCTAATCTGTTTTTAAGACTCGGACCAGACCTTAGCACAGGCTAACGACATTTGCATGAACACTTAGCACCAAGAAAGCCATTGTAATCAATGGTAATTTAGAAAATTGACTATTATATTCAAAGCTATTCATTTCACTACACCATTTTCGACATGACAATCAACAATGATACTCCTTACCTGTTATTCTGCAATCTGCACTTTCTTGGCCCGTGTTGGTGTAGCCTGAACACAACTATTGCTTCAATTTCCCACTTCTTCTGAAAACAATTGTGTTTGATTTACCAAGATTAACTTTTAATTTCCAATAATTGTGCAGATTGTACTTTAAAGCATTTATAGTGTATGCGTTCTTCAACCTTCACAGATATCTTTAACTTTATTACACAACTGCACCATCGTAGGGTGCTGTATGGTAAGGATACAGATCAGAAAAAAACAAACACAAATAAACAAAAGACAACAAAAATTTCAAAATTACAAACAAAACAAAATAAAGGATATATATAAAAAAACGTATTACGATTAGGTTTTATAAATTGTGTTTTTTTAAGTATTTTGCAAGTGCAGTACTACTACTTATAATGCAGGTGAATATTAAATTTCGGTTAGTTGTACTACACATTTTTAATTTACAGTCTTCTAAGAGGGTATTTCTTTCTTGAGTGAAGAAGCAACAGTCAAGGATGAAATGTTTTCCATCTTCTATAGTACCTGTGTTGCATTTTTTGCACAATCTGTAGTTTGCCTCAATTTTTGGAAATTTTCTCCTGCCTAAATCTATTTCCAAATTATGGTCACTAAGTCTAAACTTGGTAACCATTTTTCTCAAATTGAAGTCCTGAGTTTCTGTTAAATATCCTTCAAATTCATATTCCATTTTAAACAAATTATACGTTTTAAGTTTGTTTCCTCATGGAACTACAAACCTGTTCCATGGGACATTTACCATGTTTGTATATATTTATTTTTTTATTTTTCTTTCAACAATTTTGTTAATTCAGTGATGTTTCCCACATTATATATTTTCTTTACTTCAGATAATTCAGCATGTCCAAATATTGTTTTAACATGTTTTATCCAGCTTGAGTTTGAAGACACTGTTTCTTTAAGTGCACTTTTTAGAATATAATTTTCAGGTAACAAAGACAATCTGTGCCAATATTTAATTAGTGATAAAGTTGCCTTAATTCTTATAGGAATTCTACCAATTTCGTCTCTTATACTAATCAATGGTGTTATTTTACTAACATCTAAAATAAACCGGTAAAAGTGGTTGCATGCTTGCTCCAAGTAATTGTTTTCATTCGTAATTTCATTGGCCCAAATCTCTGACCCATCTAACAAAATTGGAGAGATGAGTTGATCAAAAAGTTTAAGGCTTAGTTTTGTAGAGATCATTTTATGATTTAGTATAGTGTGACGTATACTAAATAAAGCTTTCATAGCTTTATTTTTTAGATTTGACTGATTTATTTAAATTTACCATTTGGTGTGAAAATGGTTCCTAAATAACAAAACTCCTTAACAGATGTTATCTATTCATTATTTATTTTGAAATTCATATTTGTTACTAAACAATTACTGTTGTTAAATATCATCACTTTAGTTTTTCTAACATTAACATTTAGGTACCATTTTGTACAATAATCATTTAGTTTGATCAGACAGTTTTGTAGACTGTCCGCGGACTAAGAAATAATTGCCAAGTCATCCGCGTACTGAATGCAATTTACCAATTATCGAGCAGAACACCATACAGAGCTCACCCCTATCAGAGCCACGGACTGACTAGAGTCCCTGTATGCGTTTGTTTGAAGATCAGACCACGCAGACGCACACATTAGCAAATTATTTTTATAAATACTAGCCAGCATATATTCGCTACTTTACCATGTGACGACCAGCTGTCACCAAAAACTGTCCATGACATTACAACATGGCATACCCGAGTAAAGCCAGAAAATAGTGTTCGTCCTATACTTACGGTTTTGGTATTGCAATTGAAGCAATGGCTCGATCCGGCGTACAACGTGTAACACCATCTGTGGCAGCTTACACGCGTCACATTTCAGGTTTTGTTACATCAATACTTTACATATTCACCGAATCCGTTGTCAGTATCACCGAAAAGAATGCAATGTCAACGAAAATAGCCTCTCTAATTCCGACAACTTAACGACACAGCACGATTGGAATATCTGACACATGACATGGCGTGAGAGTGCGCCCTCTATGAGACGCGATACCATAGTGACGTCATTCAGACAACAACCTGTTTCCAAAAGTAAAAACCTAATTCTTTCACTCATATATGCTGCCTAAATTAATAAGTAATATCATAATTATCTTAATCCATACAATGACTAATTTAATAAGTAATATCATAATTATCTTAATCCATATAATGACTAATTTAATAAGTAATATCATAATTATCTCAATCCATATATGTTGACTAATTTAATAAGTAATATCATAATTATCTCAATCCATATATGTTGACTAAATTAATAAGTAATATCATAATTATCTTAATCCATACAATGACTAATTTAATAAGTAATATCATAATTATCTTAATCCATATAATGACTAATTTAATAAGTAATATCATAATTATCTTAATCCATATAATGACTAATTTAATAAGTAATATCATAATTATCTCAATCCATATATGTTGACTAATTTAATAAGTAATATCATAATTATCTTAATCCATACAATGACTAATTTAATAAGTAATATCATAATTATCTCAATCCATACATGTTGACAAATTTAATAAGTAATATCATAATTATCTCAATCCATATATGTTGACTAAATTAATAAGTAATATCATAATCTCAATCATATATGTTGACAAATTTAATAAGTAATATCAGAATTATCTCAATCCATACATGTTGACTAATTTAATAAGTAATATCATAATTATCTCAATCCATACATGTTGACAAATGTAATAAGTAATATCATATTTATCTCAATGCATCCATGTTGACAAATTTAATAAGTAATATCATAATTATCTCAATCCATATATGTTGACAAATTTATTAAGTAATATCATAATTATCTTAATCCATACATGTTGACTAATTTAATAGTAATATCATAATTATCGCAATGCATATATGTTGACTAAATTAATAAGTAATATCATAATTTTCTCAATCCATATATGTTGACAAATTAATTAAGTAATATCATAATTATTTTAATCCATACATGTTGACTAATTTAATAGTAATATCATAATTATCTCAAGCCATATATGTTGACTAAATTAATAAGTAATATCATAATTATCTCAATCATATATGTTGACAAATTTAATAAGTAATATCATAATTATCTCAATTCATACATGTTGACTAATTTAATAAGTAATATCATAATTATCTCAATCCATACATGTTGACAAATTTAATAAGTAATGTCATATTTATCTCAATCTATATATGTTGACTAAATTAATAAGTAATATCATAATTATCTCAATCCATACATGTTGACTAATTTAATAAGTAATATCATAATTATCTCAATCCATACATACTAAATAAATATCATAATGGCTATTTTTGTGAGTGAAAACATAACTATTTACTATTCATCTAATATCCGACTTTGTGTGCCGGTGTTTAGTATGCCCTCTACTAACCAAACCAATTCTAGTTAATTATAAACATGGTATTTGTTTTCGTGACAAATCTTTGACCCCAAATGGTGTTATTTGAGATTGTATTAAACACGAACATCGACAATGGTGGATGAATGGAGAAAAGCCAAAATACTTGCAGCATTTTACATGGCATTGCCTCTACTGACCTGGATTGCTTGTTATAACTATCCCTGGTTGTTTGGTGGTGGTTACAACAAATGGTGGGCAGCGTTATCAGCTTGTATTATTGCTGTAATTGGTCTCCGTCGTCTTCCAAGGTCAAGGGATGGACCCATTACACATTCCGTTAGCAAGAAAGACATTTGACCTGCAATTAGACTAAGGTACTTAAAATAATATTTTCAAGAGTGTCATTTTTGTCGGCACTGTTCTATTATTGTTACAGAACTCCCGTACGACCACGTAATATTTCCAGGCTGGGACAAAAGAACGTAGGTAAGATCACGTAATATTGCTGTTAAATAGAACTGTTTTTACTTACGACCACGTAATATTGCTGGGACAATAGAACGTGGATAAGATCACGTAATATTGTTGGGACAATAGAACGTAGATAAGATCACGTAATATTGCTGGGACAATAGAACGTAGATAAGATCACGTAATATTGCTGTTAAATAGAACTGTTTTTACTTACGACCACGTAATATTGCTGGGACAATATAACGTAGATAAGATCACGTAATATTGCTGGGACAATAGAACGTAGATAAGATCGAGTAATATTGCTGGGACAATAGAACGTAGGTAAGATCACGTAATATTGCTGTTAAATAGAACTGTTTTTACTTACGACCACGTAATATTGCTGGGACAATAGAACGTAGATAAGATCACGTAATATTGCTGGGACAATAGAACGTAGATAAGATCACGTAATATTGTTGGGACAATAGAACGTAGATAAGATCGAGTAATATTGCTGGGACAATAGAACGTAGATAAGATCACGTAATATTGCTGGGACAATAGAACGTAGATAAGATCACGTAATATTGCGGGGACAATAGAACGTAGATAGGATCGAGTAATATTGCTGGGACAATAGAACGTAGATAAGATCACGTAATATTGCTGGGACAATAGAACGTAGATAAGATCACGTAATATTGTTGGGACAATAGAAGTTAAGATCACGTAATATTGCTTGGACAATAGAACTCTTTTATATACCGTCACGTAATAGTGCTGGGGCAATAGAAGTTAAGATCACGTAATATTGCTGGGACAATAGAAGTTAAGATCACGTAATATTGCTGGGACAATAGAAGCTAAGATCACGTAATATTGCTGGGACTATAGAAGCTAAGATCACGTAATATTGCTTGGACAATAGATCTCTTTTATATACCGTCACGTAATAGTGCTGGGACAATAGAAGTTAAGATCACGTATTATTGCTGGGACAATAGAAGCTAAGATCACGTAATATTGCTAGGACTATAGAAGCTAAGATCACATAATATTGCTTGGACAATAGATCTCTTTTATATACCGTCACGTAATAGTGCTGGGACAATAGAAGTTAAGATCACGTAATATTGCTTGGACAATAGAAGTCAAGATCACGTAATATTGCTTGGACAATAGATCTCTTTTATATACCGTCACGTAATAGTGCTGGGACAATAGAAGTTAAGATCACGTATTATTGCTGGGACAATAGAAGCTAAGATCACGTAATATTGCTAGGACTATAGAAGCTAAGATCACATAATATTGCTTGGACAATAGATCTCTTTTATATACCGTCACGTAATAGTGCTGGGACAATAGAAGTTAAGATCACGTAATATTGCTTGGACAATAGAAGTCAAGATCACGTAATATTGCTTGGACAATAGATCTCTTTTATATACCGTCACGTAATAGTGCTGGGACAATAGAAGCTAAGATCACGTAATATTGGTGGGACAATAGAACGTAGGTCAGATCGCATAATATTTCTGGGATATTAGAACGTAGGTCAGATCATGTAATATTGCTGGGACAATAGAACGTAGGTCAGATCATGTAATATTGCTGGGACAATAGAACGTAGGTATGATGACATAATATTTCCGGGTCAATAGTAGTACGGGGTAAGATTTAAAGCGCGACAGTCGTCGCGCTGCGCATGTGCGGCATTTGTGTTGATTAACATTGATGCGCTTTTCTAATGGTAATCACAAGTATGAGGTTTTATCTGGGCGCGACTTGCACTAATTGCCGTCGGTGACTCCTTCGATACATTCCAACCACCTAAAAATACCTAATTAAAGCTTCGTAACGTCACAGTTTGTACTCGTTGAAGGTACTAACTAACCTTCATCATATATCTCGCGCATACGTAGCGACTACCGCCTCATATGTTTGCATATCGGATAGACCCAATTGCGTTCATGCACGTGAAGAAACAGTGGTTAGCACAGGTCAAGGAATGCCCAAACTTATTAAGAATATACAAAATCCTTAGTCATTTTTAACTATAATTTCTCAATAGACTAACTCGGAATGTATACATGTTAGTTCTACGGTTATAAAACAATACCAAAAGAAATTCATTTTTTTTTCTCGAGAACAATGTGTTTTCGCATTGATTATCATGTCGGAAATGGCATACCGAAATGAATAGTTATAAATATAATAGTAAACCTTTCAAATTAACATTGAATACGATGACGTTTTTGGTACTTGCGCCGAGCTAAGCTTTCACTCGCGCTTCGTCAGCCCGTGCTAAGCTTATGGACCGGGTCTTAAAAACGGATAAGATTTAATCCGTACTTAGCATTTCTTAGCCCATGCTAAGCGTTCACGCACGTTTTCTTAGCACGGGCTAACGTATTTGATCACTTAGCCCGTGCTAAAGGTTGTGCATGGACGTTATAATGGCACTAGTACGACCATGCATGGAGCATGGACCATGTAACATTGCTGAGATAATAGAACGTTGATACGATCAGATAATATTTTCGGGCAAATAAAACTCTGGTACGATTACGTAATATTGCATAGCAATAGAACGTTGGTATAAGATAATATGTTTGGGCAAAGAAAACGCAGGTACAACCACGTAATATTGCTGGGCAAATAAAAGATTATTTAATATTGTTGGGTCAGTAGTACTATCATCAGATTGTCGACAACGCTTGCTTGAATTCATGAACAATTGCATAAACTGCGAGGTATTGAAAGATGTGGAGAGCCATTACTTCAAAATAATAATACATTAACTTTATCTAGTTTCCATTCACTGTAGTTGTCATGGTAATAATAGTAGTAACTAACGGTTATATATATATAATTTGAACTTCACAGGCTGATCACATTTAGTGCTACATGGATAAGTGGGGGAAGATGAAGAAAATACCGAATGGACTGACGCTGTGATTATCATCTACGCCTACGTGTCGACCTCTTGTGGTACGTGTTCCACATAATTGAAATTCTACAATGAACGTGTACAGTATACGGAAAACGGAGCTGAAGACACACGTAGTTACTCTTTATTGTTGGTCAATGTCGATCTGCAATCAGTTATTTTCTATTA